TTTTTGGATCTTTTGAACTGTTTCAAAGACTCAAGATTGTACTGCAGCTTTGTTCAGCGCAGATATGGAAACTATCTCTACAATCGTTTTCCTCCTGATGTTTGGTTCCATATCTATACTGATGGCTCAAAGCTCGATATAAATAGAATTGCAGAAGCCGGAATTTTCTGTGAGCATTTCTCATACTATCTTTCTCTAGGGAACTGACAAGAAAGCATTTGATGGTGAAGTTGAGGTAATTAAAATTGCTCTAATCCATCTAAAAGCTCGTCCTTCTCTTTTCGAACAGTTTGTCATATTCTCACACTCTCAAGCAACAATACTTAGCAACTGCCAATGGTTGCCAAGTTTCTATTTTCATTATCTGTAATGCAATGTAGATCCCTTATAAGGTATTTCTCCCACCTTCTTAACATGCTTTCGTGGTATAGTGGTCACTTGGTGTAGTGCAACACTAGATGCATATTTGAGAGCACCATAGTTCAAATTCCCACAAGGGCATTGTTCATCTCTCCTGCTTTCAAAAACAACAGCGTGCCGAATCTCGTGTACGCACTGATTTCAGATTGTGTAAGTTTATATAGTTCTATATTTCTTAAGACGCTATTGAAATACTAGTTTAATTTTTAATTCCGTTTTTGGTATCCTATGGATTTAAGAATTTAGAAATTGTGGCTGGTCTTTGGAATATGGTAACTGGTAGTTTGGCGACATTTTGGAAGTGATAAAGGTTACTACCTAGGACTTTGGTAATAATGTGAGAAGCACTCAGTTCCGATTATGCATTATTTTGTGTGAGGGAAATGAGAGATCATGACATATGTCATGTGACATTAATGGACGAATTACAGTTGTTTAATCGGAAAAGGGGGGAAATCTGGAAATTTCGTATTTAGCTATATTCCGTGTTGTGTGAAACGTGACATTAATGGACGAATTACAGTTCTTTAATCGGAAAAGGGGCTTAATTTGGAAAAGCTTCATTGTGTGTTGTGTGAAATAGTGTTGATTAATTTTTGGATTGCATGGCACTATGTAAAGTGAATTCTAAATTTTTAATGCGTTTATCTGATAATAAGTTGAGATTGTGTGAAAGGAAGGATATTACAAGTTTAAATGGTGGTGCAAGAAATATGGTGAAAATGGACATTTTGTGAAAAGGAGTGTAAGGAAGGGTACGTGGTTTGCTGAAAGTAGTTTGAAAATAGGTGAAATTTTATTAATTTCTTATTACTTGGTGAACAGACTTCCAGTTGACTACTGGATTTAGGATTTAGAAATTAGCAGTAATACTGCAGTGACGTAATGAAGATTCTGAAAAAGATTAGGTAAGTTAGTATTTTTAATCATTTGAGGATATTATTTTTATGCATTGTTCTAAATGTAAGGAGTAATAAATTAAAATGGTATTATTTGAAAATTGTTATTAGCAATGATTTAGTTTAAAGTAATTAGGATGTAATCTAATTTTTATTAATTTAATGTATGTGCTTATTTATATTTAAGTAGTGTTTTTTAATTTAATTATATTTTAATTTAATGATCATGATTTTGTGAGTTATATGTTTGAGTAGTATACATTGAATATTTTCATGCATTTTCGTGAAATTTTTCTAATTTATGAGAAACAGTGTACATGGATATAGTGAAGAGTGTGCGCAATGCCATTTTTGTGCAATTCTGGGATTTTTTTTAAGTAAAAATAAGTCGACGTGTACATGGTTTAGTGATATTTTAATTAAATGAGTTATTTTGTGAATTTTATGTTTGTAGGAATTTGGTATATGTTTTAGTTGAAGTAAACGTGCATGGAAATAATTTAAATATTTGACACTAAGTATTTGTAATGTTTGGGGTATGAATTCGTTGGTAACGTTTATAATATAATAGATAATTTAGAGGTAAAAGTTTTTAGATATTTTATTTATTTTATACGTGGAAATGTTCATGTTTGGAAAGGGTATATACTTTTTCGCAATAAGGTAATTTCATATATGTTCTTTTTACCGGGTTTAAAGATTCAGAAAATTGTCATGCATTTTCGTGAAATTTTTCTAATTTATGAGAAAAAAGCAGTATACATAGATATAGTGAACAGTGTGCGCAATGCCATTTTTGTGCAATTCTGGGATGTTTTTTTAAGTAAAAATAAGTTGACGTGTACATGGTTTATGTGTATGTGTTATTGTGGAAAACGCGCAAGGAGTTTGCGATTGTGCACTTTTTCTCAATTTTGCAGTGAATATTTGTCATGATTAAGCAGTTTTGTTAGATAAAATTTCTAGTATAAGTGTAATTTGGCTAGTAGATTGTTGGAAAAAGTGTTCAGTAAATAAAAAGAAACATGTCTTTGAAGACAATATGGCGGCGGAAAAAAAAAAAAAAATAGAGGGTTGCTGTAGCAAAGTTGGTCGCCAAAAAATCACGAAGTTACCATAATCCAAAGATCAACCGAAATTGCCTACAATGAAAAGTCTGCGATTGAATTTTGGGTAAAGTGCAGAATCACCCACTGCTTGACCGTGTTTTTAAGTATTGCACATACTCGGTATCCATGTACACATCGACTTATTTTAACTTTAAAAAAATCCCAGAATTGCACAAAAATGACACTGTGCACACACTTGACTTTATCTATGTACACATCGACCTATTTTCGCTTAAAAAGTAAAAGAAAATTTACAAAAATCCAATTGTTTTTAACCCTTGTAAAAAGCAGCAAAGAAATAAGCAGGCGATTCTGCACTTTACCGAAAATGTTTTCAAAGAAAAGGCATCATTCATTATAGAAAATTATGTTTGAACAACTAACGAGATGACATTATGCTTTAGCGATAACTCGGCAGCAAAATATTATATGAAATTAACCTTTTATCTAAATTAAAACATCAATATTTAGATAGTTTTTTACTATTATACTTCCCTTTTTCGTAAGGGTTGCTGCAATTACTTTTGGCAGCACTGGCATCAACAATAGTTTGGCGATTTTTTTTACCCTCGAAACCGAATAGTACCAAAATATCCTTCAAATTAGCAATAGAATTTATATAATTTCATATAAATATAAGAGTGGAAATATACAAATTCTTACTTTTACAGAATTTTTCTAATGAACTGTTTGCAAGTATTATGGAAAAGTTAATTTATAAAATATTTCTAATTTTTCTGAAAATTATTTGACTGATGCAATGCCACCTAATATTAATACTTGTATGGCCTTCCTTATATCAGCATTTATAGGAAATTCACAGATTTGATCTTTATGTTCTCTAGCAATTTTTTACACGATCAGTTTGGACTTGCTCCAGAAAGTCACGGGCAGATATCTTCTGTCACAAGAAGAGAGACCTGTGCCTGATCCCTCTTGAAATCAACAGAGTTATTCAAAATTTGTGACAAATTAAGCTAAAGGTAATTGTTGAGTTTTAAACAGTTGACTAAAATAGAAACCAAGCAGCAGGATCAACTAATCTCTTATTTGGTTATATTTTTCAGTCACTTGACAATTTTTAATTTTTATTTTCACTTAGTGAATTAATTTTCGTTTCAAAAATTTATTGTCCAATATTTTGATAATATTAACTGAAATGTCGATCACAAGAAGCAATGCATTCTCCATGTTTCTGTATACAAATGGGCATTACTTCAGTGATTCAATAACAGTACCTGAATAATAACATTAACCACAATCACATTATGCAATAATACTGCATACCTTTTCAGAATTAAATTACAAAGAAATAACATTCTTACTATAGTTACAATATGCAGTCTATGCTTAGGTTATAAGAGATAAAATGTAAAACATAAACACTATGAAATTACAATAACTACATATTATCCAAGTGACTAAGAAACCTCACTAACAGATAAAATATACATATATGCTATAAAACAGCAATGATTATGAACTACCCAAGTCACTAAGAAGCCATACATGGGATATTGAGAGGAAAACAGTGTAGAAAAGACGAGGAAAATGTGTAAAAATCATATCTAGTGTTATTTTGTGTAAATTTAACATGCATATATTCAAAAAACATTTTTACATGCTAAATATCAAATTAATATATAACTAATTCTTGTATTGCAATGTAAAAGCTTCAAAGTGTTATAACTGCAGGCTTATGAAGCTAAGATTAAAGAAGGAAAAAAAAAAAAAAAAGAATTTGATCAGGAATTAGCTCAGATCATTGTTCTTATATTTAAAATTAGACTTATCAAATAAACACGCTGAAAAGTAAGTAAAAAATTAATAAAAATCTGAAAACATTAATAAATACATCTATATTTAAGTCATGATTACAAAAGTAGAGTAAAAATTCTAACACAGATGAGTTATTACGAAATATTTTTCACAGAATCGGAACAATAAGAATATTTGAATAATATAAGAAAATTATAAATATTATCGTTCATGTAGCAAAAAAAGGGAGGGCACTAACCCATGCAATTAAAAACACATTTTTGCTTGTTTTTACTCAGTTACGGCAAATAAATTCAAATCCTAAAATAATCATTTTGAAAATTACAGAAAGCAGTTGGCACATTTACAGTTGCTTTCCTAAACCATTATCACGCCACGAAAAACCTACCTTTAAGAATTCTAACAAAAATTATCCAGGGGAAACTAACATCCAAAAAACGTAAAATTAATAGCTAAATTTTTTATCTCCTCAATACCGGATCTTTAATTATTATGTTTAGGAGGAAAAAGGAAGGACAAGTTACTATCACGTAAACTTATCAGACTGATAAAAATTATTAGTGTCAAATATGCCTATAATAAACATATTGCTACAGCCTTTAGAAGGCTGTTTCAGACGACAGAAGTTTGAAATAATAATTGAGAATGTACAGATTACCCTTAAAAAGAATAACAATGGTTTAATGAGTAAGGAAAATTTTCAAGGAAACAATTCACATTTTGGACGGATGACATATACATTGCGATAACCAATGAATGAATCCCCAAATTTTATTTTTTCAAAACAACTCACATTAGAGCGATATCTGTGGTAAACCTTCCCGTATTTACATTATGAAAGAATATGGCTGGGTGCGGTAAAAACAGCCAAATCCATTCTACGTAACCATACTCAAATCTCAAATTCTTTAAAGGGTTGCCAGAGACGTGTTAGCCGATTCAATTTCCACATTTTTCTATAAATTTTGCAAAGCTTATAGTCTCATTTTATTTCCCAATAAATTAATTATAATCTCCCATTTAATAAAGTCAAGGATGTTAAAACAGATCTATTCTAAACTCCTTGAAAAAGTACTAAAGGAAAGGCGACTAACTTTTTGCGTCTTAATTCGCAATTGTATCATTCCAGTTCTCCAAATAGATGCAATCCGATCCGATTCATTCGTCTTTCTAGTTCAAGCAAAGTGCAGTTCTTAGTATGAGTGAGAACTGAATAGAAGAAATTTCTGGCAAGTTTTTTAATATAATTTTGAGTTGTGTGTACTTTGAGATCACGGTAGATAAACTAATGGAATGAACCATGGAGAGTTGATAATGTGTGTAAGTGCTTTGTTTTGATAATCTAGCTAAGTGATTTGTTTGAACTTGAATATGTTAAAGGTGAGTTTTGGCAGCGTGACCCCAGACAGGACTAGCATTGAGTAATGCTGTTGCAGTACAGTTTTATACAAGAGGAGTTTATTTGAAGTGCCCAAATGACTACTTCTGCCAAGAAGTGGGAACATAGTTGCAATCGTGATATTAATTTTTTGCACAGTTTCCCTGAATTAAAATTTTTCTTCAAAAATTAATGTAAATTTATTTCCGTATATATCATTTTTTAGTTAGGCGGTAAATTCCGGGATCGCTTCGAGCGACAAAATGTCTAGCTACACCACTGACCTGTCAACAACAAATTGATGGAAAAACGCTTTCAAATAAATACTCCTAGAGCCGCGCTCTTTAATCTGCCTCTCTTCTCTGTACTGTGATTAGTCTAAAGCTGCCTGAAGACTTGCCCTCTCTCAATGAAGTCAAATGCACCCGACCACGTATCAACCAAGGACCACAGAATGGTTTTCTCCGTTAGTTAGAGGTGGTATACGATACTGGTTATTTTGTGTCAATATTGTACGCGCTATACTAGATGAGATCCAGTGATCGTAGAATAGCTGCTTCTAAATGCTAAGGGATTACATAAAATAGTAAATATAAAATAGTTCTAAGCATAAAAATACCGCTTCTCTTACCATAACAGTATAACAGCAACATACCACTTCTCTTACGAATGGACCATCTAAGGGGAGCTGTCGAACTAGTGAGCATATAAACACTGTTTTTACATATGTTAAAACAGTGCGAGTCTTAAGGGCATCATAATATATTTTAGTAAATCATACAAAATCCTAAACGAATTCAAAATGCAAAACGGAATATCTTTGTACAAATTCACACCAAAAACCAGATACGATGCAAAAACAATCAACTACTGAAACTTCAGCACACATGAAGTAACCATATTAAGGGTAGAAATATTTTAAATTGAACTCTCCAAAGCTCCTCCATTGAAGAATTCTTCAAGTATACTAAATACAAACATCTTGTCAACAGAAGTAGGGGCTTCCCTTATTTCATTAAGTGTACTAGTGAAAAATTAGGCTACATCAGGAGTGGAAAATTCGAAAAAGACTGCTTTAATTCCAGAATTCGTGAAACAGATAAAACGTCACATTGAACATTGACTCCTTCTCGCTTTAACGATGCTTTAATTTTAATTAAGTGTTACAGGGGCAAAACATGAAAAACAAACGAGAAATAGATTGATTAAATCTGAATGCTGAGGCTAATATGTATTAAAGTATCCAATTGAAAAACTTTTCTGTTTTCGAATGTAATGAGAATGCAGAATGGAGAATATTAACAATATGGTATTCAATTAATGAATATCAGCCGAAAAACTCATAAACGTTTTTCATTTCATTTGTTTTTATTGAAAAGAATTCCAAAATTTTTTAGCCAATTTATTGATGTCCATGATAAACTTCCAAGACCTAATAGTTGGATCCATATTCGTTTTAATGATTTATATATCCAAAGAATTGGATCTTTCAAAATATGCCTATTATATTGCTTACTGATCTCATAAGCTACTTTTTTTTGCTTGAGAAAATCCTGGCGCCTGTCTAGGCGCAATAATCAAGTGTGGAATTGAATCGAAGGCCATCGAAATGTCTATATGTCCGACATCGAACAGTTAGCTCAAGCGCAGTAGGAATGTTAAATGTCTGACTAGTTGCGACTAGCTAACCGTCTGCGGTCGGATGGGTAGACACAACCCTTCGAACTCTAGACACGGCTAGACAATGTTTGGGATTATCGATATTTAAAGTATTTCATCATCGTTCATTTGTTTTGGAATTTTTTTTAAAAAGGTATGTTTTTTAAAATTTTTATTTATATCATCCGTTATTTAAAGTAGAATTTTAGCATCATATATTTATTTTTATTTCGTCAGAAAAATCTGCTTATGAAAAATATATAAAAATACTTTCAGCTTAGACTTTTAAATTTTATGAAAGCACTGAACCTTTTTATAAGGTAAAATTTAATTAGCGTTTCAGATTTTCAGTAAAAAGCAATTTTTAAGTAAAAATCTGAAAGAAACATAAATTTTGAATTTACCAGACAAAATATTTTAAAGTACGGAGTAGAGGTTATGTGAAAATTTCTCTAGGTAGCGCTCAATGAATGAGTTTAGTTCAAAATGGAGATAATGAGCTCCTGTATTTGTATAAGAGCGTAAAAAAATGCTTGACATGTCATTTATACAATTATCTTGCTGTTATACTGTATAAACATGACATCTATAGAGTATGATTTGGATACTTCAGGCGGCTTGATGCCGGTAAGACCTAGAACTTCCACATAATCAACGATCTATTTATTTAAGATGGCTTCTTTGGGTGCAATGTTGATTATGTTACCTGTCATTTTATTTATGAGCTTCAGTAATAAGGGATCCTAAATAAAAGTCTGTGTTTGTATTTCAGCAAATTCAAGCAATTATTGCACCACCAATACTAGAAGATTCAGCGAAAAAGAAAAAAGATCGGGAACGAAGGTATCGAAGACCTGGTAGAACAGTTAACCATGATTCTTGTGATAGTTGCAAAGAAGGCGGTGATTTAATTTGTTGTGATCGTTGTCCTGCTGCTTTTCATCTTACATGCCAGTAAGGTTAAAACATTTTGTTTTGCGAAGATATAAATTACTGTCTCATCTTTTATTTTTTCATGTTGGAAATTATGAAAGGTTGAAAGTCATATCGATTTTTCCCGAAATGAACTTTCTTACAGTTATTTATTCAAATGAATTATATAGAATATATATATATATTTTAAATTCTACACATTCAACTATACTTAAAATAAATTTTTGTAAGTGTTGAATGTGTTGTCAGTAACAGGAATTTTGAATAATTAACACGATACAAATGAATTTTTACTTTATTTTCATGTGAAGTTAAATGTTATACAATGTGGTTTATTGTTTATCACATTAGTTTTTCTTTATCGTGTTAGTTATCATTTAATGCAGCTCAAGAATTTTTAAAACGTCTGTATACAGCAGCGATGTTTGGCCATTTTGTTCCATCATAGAACTTCATGCATTTAAAAACCGCAGACTAAATTATAAAATTCAGTTGCATTTCTAGTACCTTCAAATTCTTGAAGTTGTTTTTATTTTCAGACTTCTCTTTTAATACATATTATGTCCATTTTTAAGTGTCATAACTTTCCATTTTAACTTTTTGAAACAAAATTAGCAAAATTGTAAACAGTTTAAATTACGGTTTCCAATATATATATATATTTTTTTCCTTGCAAAATATGACTGTAATAATTTTTATCCCTTAAGCCACTCCTAACCTTCCAGTTCATGGCACTTAACATCACTAGTTGTGGGATGCAGAGATTTGGGTTTTATTGTTATGGCTCTTATAATAGCAAGTACCAATTAATCTGAAGATAAGCTTCATGTGTTCTTTAAAATCATTTTCAGCATATACCACTTTGTTTTTTTATTAGCATTTCACTATTTTTATTGTTAAAATATGCTGATTAAAATCACCTGGCAAATGAAAGGCCTTTATGTTTTGCATTGAAAGTTACCGTGGCAGCATTTTATATGTTACTAGCTATAGAAAAATGAGAGTTTGAAGAAATTGTTTGCATCCTTAAAGAAAAAGGCTAGTGTTAATAAACTAAGAAACGCAATGTGTTCCTAAAAGAAAGTGGAAAGGGAAATGTTTTATTCCTGAAATCTATAAGAATTTCAGATTCACCTTTATTAATTTTCTAAGATTTTTGTTCTAATTTTGATGAGCTGAATTTGAATCATTCTGTTATCATCACGAAAAAAAAAAAAAAAAAAAAAAAATCAAGCACACTTGCCAGTATTTACTATCTGTAAACATTCCATTAATGCGCAAACACAAGGACTAAACTAAGTAATTCTTTTCACCTTTTTCAGAAAAAAAATTACTACTTTAAAGTTAGGATCTTTAAATCTGATTATTTTTGTTCTTTTTGACTGCTTGGGAGTTGTGTCTAAATTTTATTACTTTACAGGTAGTGATGGATAAAAATTAAGAAACAAAATTTATCAGTTTCAGAGTTAGTATTTCAAACACGGGCATACAGAACCAAGTAAACTAAATTTTGATTTAATCAGAAATATATTCAGATAAAAGCAAACTTCTTTAGCATGTGGAAATAATATTTTAAGCATGTGATGCGTTTTTCTTATTTTCTATTTTTAACTTTGACATATTCTAGTGAACTCGCAAACTTCTATAATCGATGGCTTGGAGCTGTGTTATTTTAACGCTGAATTATTATTTTGAATGAAGAAGTGGAATTTTAATTTAGTTTTGAAAGTATGTTTTTCCTTTTGTATTTCAGAATGGTTCAGAAATCGCTAACTTGTCAAATCGCTGTAATAGATTCTTGTGATTTCAAATGAAACCTGTAAACATGTAAAAAACTAATATCTAAAACAAAAGTTCAAGGAAAATAACGCGAGTTTGAATGAAACTTGTTTAACAAGTAAAGAACTCGTAGTCAAAATAAAAAATTCAAGGAAATCAACCAAAAAGGACTGTATTTTAAAGTTAATTAATATACGACATATCGTACATATTATGGGAGCAACAGTATTAGGAACTTTTCATGTTGTATATATATCGCATTTTTAAAACAGTAGCAACATAATAGAAAATTAAAAAATTGTAGTGTGTAGTAAATGACCAATAAATAATGAAAAAACATATTTATTTATATCTAAGCTAAAACTTTAACAAAGTGCAGAAGAAAAACTGAGATAAAATTTCAGAATTGCGATCATCTGAACTATGAGTGTAAATAAGTGTTAAAAAAAAAAAAAAAAACTGTAGCTATATAATTTTTATATGTGATTTATATTTTAAAAAAAATTTTGATTTGTAATAAATATTAGAAAGACGTTCATATCAATAATAAAGCTTGCAATATAAGGAGAAAAAAGAAAGATAAAATTCAAAATGTCACTCATTTCAACCACATCTAACAAGAATTATTTTGATTGTGGTTTTTATTTAAATCAAAATCTGTATTAATTGATTCAGAAAGTTTAACAAATCTATAAAAATGAATCTTTAACTTTTTGAGTCATCTATCTGATGACTGTGGCAGATAAATAACCTTTATTACTTTCAAGAATTCTCGGAAACAGTCACTCGGTGATAAATTTGTATGCTTTCTCCGCCACATGCGCTCGACCAGGCATGAATCAAATTTATCTTTTCCTTGCCGAGTGCCGTTCAAACATCTTCTTTTTGTAGCATATGTGTGCCCTCAATAGAATTTATGCGAGAACCTGTCTCAAGCTCTTTAAAAACAAGACTGTGATTTATGTGAAAGTGTACGAATTCTTCACTGTTAAGACAACCTTGCGACTTCCAATAGTCCAAATTCTTTTATAATCTTCTACAGACATTCTTTCTTTCGCTCCTCAACCACTTGGAGAAAACATTTGTTCGATCTCCTTTCAATACCTGGAAATGCCCATTTACCTTCCATGTACTTTATATGATGAAACTTTCTTTTTCCAAACTTACTTTCATCAGTTTCAACTATACTTCTGGACCCAGTAAGTATGTCACTCTTGACAAAATATCTTCTAATCTATTAGAGCGTGACAATTCACATTCACCTCATCCATAGTAAACTGATTCGTGTATTTCTGACCCTTCAAATATGTTACCAAGAGCCTTTTCAACTTGGAAGGTTCAGATACACAACACTGCCATTCACATAGATATGTCACATTCATATTCTTTCAACTAATTTCATACTATCTTTGCTCCTAGGACACTCGTATACATTAAAAATCAAGCCAAAATTTATGCATCAATCTGTCACGTGCTTTTTGCCCGTATCTTCCAACCGAATCAGAATCCACGATTCTCATGGATAACTGTGCGAATGAAATGATGAATATTCAAAAAGCCCCTTTAAATAGTATTAATAGTAACCCTAAACACTAATTGTTTTGCAACTTAACATGATTTCAATAAAAAAACAATGTCAGATTTGGCAAGGTGTTGCAACTTTGTGACATAGGCCCGTGATCTCCAATCTAGTCAATAAAATAAAGTGAAATTAAACCGGAGTTTTTGAACATTCTAAAAGCACAGAGAAAATTTCACTTTTTTTGTGTAACATCTCCATGTAAATCTAGACTGTTAAGAATTGAGGTACTCTCAAGTAATGCCATAATAGCACTTAATACGTCATTTAGCACGGCCTTACGCCGTTCTTTTGTTTGTTTATGACACTTATTTTTGTAGTCTATGAAAATATATTCAAATTGGCAGTAAAATGTTCAAAGCCTTTATTTTGCAATCAGGGCTGTGGAGTCGGACAGATTTTGGGGTAAAAGGAGCCGGAGCTGGAGTCACTAAAAATAGGTCGACTCAGACTCCGACTCCAGTTTTTGTTGGAAGTTTGAATTTGAAATGAAATTGAAAATCAGTTGAAAAAAAATAATGACAAGATTAGTTATTATTTTTATTAATGAACTATATACATTAATAAATAGTTATTTTCTATTTTAATGGCATATTAATAAATAAATATAAGGAAGGAGGATGAATGTGATATTTGCCATTAGTAATTAAATTGATTCATTTAGTTACAAATCTCGCTGGTAAATTTAGGTAAGCAGCAATAGCAGCAAGAACTCCCAAAATTGATGCCATTCTTGAGAAGCGAGCAGGAAAAGGAGCAATTATTGATCAAGCAATGCAATAAGGAAGTACATGTTTGATGATAAAGACGTTTTTAGAATTAAAAACTTTTTTAGAAGATGATGTAGATAACCCTAATGTTTCACTAACAGAAAGACTGTGGAATGATCTTGTAGAACTGGAAACTCTTCTTTCTACATTGTTTATTGCCACAAAAAAGCTGCAATCTGAAGAACTGACAAGAGGCAAGAATGGAAGAATGGAATGTTTGTTCTTTATGAAATGAAGGATTTATTGCAGAAGGAATCATTTCTTCAATGTAGAAAAGAGAAACTAGTTTGCTAGACAGTGAGATCTTGCTGTGTTCAATATATGTAGATCTGAAATACTGAATTTTCTTGGATGACAAACAAATTAAAAGGCTAAGAAAGCCATCTATGAACTTTCATTAAGAATGAAATTATTCTCAGAACAATTGGAGAATTCGAATCAGGACAATCAAACTGTAGACATTGCATCTGAGTCTCTATCATCCTCTTCCAGTGATGAATTAAATTTTGAGAAATATTTTTGGATAATATTGAAAAGACTACAACAAAGCAAATGAAGATAAAGAACCAAGAGCCTTTAGATATAAAAATGAAAAAATACAAAAAGATTTCTACACAACCTTTGAAGAAATAGAGAAATATGTTTGCACTTGCAAGACACCTCTTTTAGAACTTTATCCCGAAAAGTTAAAAGAAGTAGCTCTAACAGTAACAGCTCTTCCTCCTACTCAAGTTAGTGTGGGAAAACTCTTCTCAGCTCTGAAGTTTATCAAATCGGATCTATGGCCTTCCAACAAAGAAGATCTTGCTGAATCTATACCATTTCTTAGAAATAACTAATGCCAGTTTTACCATTTCATAATAAATGCTAATTAATATAAGTAATTTGCTATG